TACAGACACCCAAACGCACCCCACGGCGGTTGATCAGCGACTGAGGTGCTCCTTTTAAAAATGGCGAGGACAAGCATATCCTACCTGCAACTGCACAGCTATAGAAACTCTGCGGATACGCGAGTTGCGCCTTGGCACCGTTTCCAATCGCGACGTACGAGTTTCACCCGTGGATTCGCCACAACCACGTATATCACGTTGCTGTTTAATTATTCCATCGAACGTTCAATCGAACTTCATTATTACGCCTGATATACACGCTTCAACAAGATTTCAATGAACCCCCCTTGGCCTACGCCTATGAGCGTTTTCCCTTCGATTGTATTTCAAACGACAGATATTTATTTCGTCATAAAGGCTCGTGGGCCGATCGAAATAATTTTATGCATTCTGTAATATACATTGAGACATTTACCTTGACTTTTTCAAGCGGTACACGGTTTTTGCAGTTTAGTTACCTTAATGCGACTCACGATGCAGTGTCACTGCAGTATACCGGGTGTCGGCGTTAGAAATTTCCGATGACTTTCCGCCCGGGTATAGATGATTTGTTGAATTTTTCACGATGATTTCTATCGATTTCGATGAGAAATGTGAAATGCCGAAGATAGGGTAAATTTGATTTGAATAGATGACGAGGAACACGTGTAATTGCAGAGATACAATTTTGGCATTTATTCAATTGCAATTTTAATTTGTAATATCGATTGAAATTAATGGTAATGAATAAAGGAATATTTTTGTTATGTGGTATTTGTTAATTTAACTTTAACTTGGCGAATTTTCGAAAAAGATTAATTGGGATCAATTTACTAATGTTGCAATTAAGTTCAAAATCAATTATGGTCCGTTTTATAACTTTCTATTGTTTCAGTATTATCTTGCATGAACATTGTGGTATTTTTCTCTATTTCAATTGTACTATGTAATATAAATTGCACAATGTTGGTATATAAATATGCATTGGATTAATGGATGAGATGAAATTTCTGTACAACTCGATCATGATAATGTCGCCATCTTATGATATCTAAAAGATAATTTCGATTAATTGAATAGGATAGAAATTTTATTTATCTGAATTAATGCATTTGTCGATAATGCAAAATCTGTTTACGGTTCAGCCTTAAAGCAAGATCCATCGTAATAATGTGAACGCGTCGTAACGCGTGCACCAAGAAAGCCGCCACCGAACGTCGTGCTAAAAAACTCATTGAAATATAGAGCTCCGCGTTCGAATAAGAAAATGGAAACAATGTCGAATCCGTATCCAAAAAAAATGCAAGACACATATGAAGACGAAGAGGAGAGGAAACATTTTCAACGAATCGTTTCAGCTTTCAAATACTACAAGTGAGTAGTTGACGAGAAATCGGTCCGTCTTCCTTTGCTCTGATCCCCGACTCGACGATTTGCTCTTATCTTTATTACCTTTATTTTTTTTTTACCTTCTTCTTTATACATTGTAATAGAGATAACTCTGTGCAATGTCGTCCAGGATTTGCCGTTTGTCGTTGAAAATTTCTATGGACATTACTTAACCTTTGTCGATGCTGCAAGGGACAGTTTTATTTACTATGCTTTATAGTTCTCCTATCATTACAGAAATCTGTGATCCGAATTGTGTCATTGTACTTTCCGGCAAAAGTTCAATGACCTGTGTATAATAGGATACATCCGTAGGTTTATCCAATAAGGACCTATAACTACATGCAATTTATCAATTATTATCTCCTAAAAATTTGTGTTAAGCATTCGTGTTAAACTGCAATGAATTTTGTTGAATTGTATAATACTGTAATGCGACGAGTATAATATCATGATAAATAATAATTTCATTTTATAATCTTTTTGCAGAACCCATTCGCTGTCAAGGGTAAAAAAGACAGAGTCATATTTGTTGACACTTCCTCTTCATCACCAAAAACTTCTGTCAAAGTACAAAGAACATCTGCAAGAAGTTAAAAGGTGTATCGAAAACAACGATGAAATAATTAAGCTGATCATAAAGGATGTTGCCCATATCTTTGAAAATGTGAGCCCAGCTAGTGCACAGACTGACAGTGTAAGAAAAGTTTACCTGGTGTGTGGCATGTATATACCCTGTTGTTCGACATCATAGATACGATGTTCACATCGGAATCGATTAATTTTACTAATCCTATTAAATGTAACACATTAATATTGGAAATAACTTCATATTTTATTCTTATATCTGATAATCGTTTATTTCTTACTGTTGTACATTACGTAAAATATTTCTCAATCAATTTTTCATTGATCTTTAGCTTTTTTTCTTGTGATTTTAACAAGCTTCTTTTTTTATAAAAATGTGTTCTATTGTACAAAATATAGGTAGGTCTGATTGCAGACATTAAATCCTCGTCCAGTAATGGCTGATCAAGAAAAGGTGCAAGCAACAATTAAACAACTGGTTCGTGATTGGAGTGTGGAAGGAACAGAGGAACGCAATGCGTGTTATCAACCTATTATAGATGAAATATTAAATCAATTTCCTTTAGAATATTGGTATGAATCTTTTGATTCCTATAAATGTATATTAGATATATTATTGTAAAACAGTTAAGAAAAGTACGAAATGATAGGTAAATTTCTAGTACACCATCTGGAGTGCAAATTTTAGTACCTGGAGCAGGATTAGGAAGACTCGCATACGAAATTGCGAGACGAGGATACACTTGCCAGGGAAACGAATTCTCTCTCTTTATGCTCTTTGCGTCACATTTCGTGCTAAATAAGTAAGTGCCGGTGAGAGTTTAATTTAATAAATATTTTAACATAAGATAAGAACTTAATACATTTATTAACAATTGTTACACCTTGACAGATGTAGAGGAGTGAATTCGTATCAAGTACATCCATGGGTTCATCAGTACATGAATAATTTAAAACCAGAGCATCAAACTCAAGCTGTATTCTTTCCCGACGTAAATCCAAGCGATCTTCCAGAAAACGCGCAATTCTCTATGGCAGCTGGAGATTTTTTAGAGGTAAACCTTACGTTTCGTTTAAATCCAATTAAATGTAATTGTCATTTTTATTAATTAAATGTTTTACAGGTTTACACAGAAGACAACCACTGGGATTGCGTTGCAACGTGTTTTTTTATAGATTGTGCAAATAATGTTGTACAATTTATTGAAACAATCTACAAGATTCTAAAGCCGGGAGGTATATGGATAAACCTTGGACCACTATTGTACCATTTTAGCGATATGCCAATGGAAGATTCAATAGAACCGAGCTACGATGTTGTTCGCGATGTGATTCAGGGATTCGGTTTCCAGTTGGAAGTAATTAAATTTCTAATATCTTTGCAGTATATTACCCTACACTACCAGATAATATGACATCAACTTATTGTTACCATTTACCGTTTTTAGAAGGAAGAAAAGCGCATGAGAACACGCTACGCACAGAATATTAATAGTATGCTACAGTGTGAATACAATAGCGTATATTTTGTTTGCCGAAAGCCTAAAAGACGCATAGACAACGACATGAATCATCGAAACGGTTGTGAAAGTAACGGAATGCAAGAACAAGAAAACTAATTACTGATGACCTGATGTGTTCCACTTGTAAGACAAATTGATCTATCTGTAAATGCATTATATAATAGTTCATTATTTCAAAAGCAAAGCTGTTATACTTCGTGAATATAAATCAATATTAAACGATTTTGAGTTTCTGAACAAAATTTGTAAACGGTTAAAAAATTGAATTTTATTTGAAAATTTTATTTCATTGTAACCCAAATTGACTGTTGAATTTATTCATCGTGTTGTTAACAAATTGAATAATAAAATAATAGTTGTTTTTTAAAATCTTAATGCAAGCTGATACGAATGTAAGATTATAAATTTTCGATAACAGTTTTGCAATTTCTCTTTTGAGTTCAATACTTGTGATTTAGCATAATCATTAAATGTTTATTGTTTCAATTATTTATCAAATATCGTGATAATATAAAATAAAAGAAACTAGATTTGGTTGCATGTATATATAATATGCAATGTTCCCCGTTTGAAATGCTCTCTTCCATTTGCTTTATAGAGGAATTTCATTTCTTAATATTAACAAATGCATCTTACCCGAAATACATGTCAGTTACAAATTTTTCCAGAAACCAGTGTTGCCTTATCCAGTTTTGTCTCAAATTGACGAATGTTAGTACCATGAAGAAGATGCAATTTCAAAATTTCAGTGTTTTTTCATTTTGTAATTCAATATTTTTCTGCTTTCTTTTCAATTATGTATTTTTTGAAAATTAAAAAAAAAGTCGCACAAATTTTATTATCCATTTCACAATAATTTATATCAGTGTTATGTTACTACAAAAAGGAAGTCTATGTTGTGAAGCAAAACCTTTACTTTGCAATAGAGAATACATGCAGGCCAAAAAATAATTATAAAATAAGTTAAGCCTAACAATGTAATTAATATAATTTTTTATTAAAAATTATATATGATGAAAAATTTGATTAATGTGTAATTACCTTTTTGAAAATAATGTAATACTTTCAAAACACTTATGACAAACATTTATTAAGGTATTGTACAAACAATGATGCGATTTGATTAACTTCGATTTGTTGCATTTTACTGTAAGTTAAAAATTGTCTCCGTACTTTCATAAGTTGAGCTGCTGTACATGGACTTTGTACAGTTAAATTATATCCTGGTATTTTAAAATCACTTTCGATGCCCAATTGTTTGGCCGTTAATATTGCCTTTATAAAAAAACAGATCATGTAAATTCAGTTATCATAAATATACAACTTATGATTTCTAATCATTTGTAGTATCATTCAATGCAATTTATCATAATTAGCAAATAAAAATCGTTAAGTAACTTACTCCAACTACTTCTTGAGTAACTAAATCCAATTCATACAAATAATTTGTAGATGATAATGGAGGCTGAAATATTACAGATGTTTTTGTAAGCAAAAGAAATATCGATTTCTAATGTAAGATAATAATAATATTTATGAATACTAACACACTGAGTACTTAAATTTGGTTTAGGTGCTTTCACTTCATACAGTGATCTATAAATTTCATCAAACTTTAAATCGTCCTCTGCTGACACTGAAAATAATGGAGAATCCCAGCGGTTCTTACTGTCTGGAATTTCATACCTATGTAACGCATAATGTGTACTTTACTTTGTTGCAATAAAAGCTTTCTTTACGTAACACAGTTATATACCTCATTACAAGAGCATCAAAAATTTCTCTACTATACTGTTCATGCTCAGGGCGTTTTTCATTCCAAAACCAAGCATGTTCGATCGGTATATCACAGTGTATTGTACACTGAGGATTTTTATATAATTTTGTCATACAATATATTTCATAGCGATATCCTTTGATATAATTACTACCATCCATTACCAATACATCATTGATATTTAATAATCGTTGGACCGCAGACTTTATATCACTTCTCACACTTTTCTCTTTCTTCGAATCTGCAATAGTTTATAACAACAATGTATGAATCCATTTTCACCAGTCTCAAAGTGTTTTTTATAATAAGTTCCAAGAAATTAATTTAAAAGATGAATTCCAACCAGCGTAAAATGTATTTTTGTCATAGCCTGCCTTGGTCACAACATCGATTTCGTTTATAACCTCTACACGTTTTCCCTTGCTCTCAAAATATTCTTTCACCTCAGCTGTTCGTGTTGTTTTACCACTACAAGGTATACCAGTTATGATGATAAGTGGCATTTTATCAAAAATATTTAAAAAAATCTATATCACAATACAATATCTCTAATCCATACTTCCTGAAACTACGAATGCCGCCATGTTGGATTGCAAACTTATAGGGCCAATGTCAATAATACTGACAGACGATGACGCTTTCATTCATCCAAGTAAACAACGCGTTAAATGCGCACGGTTTAAATGAAACAACAAAAAGTTTCGTTTTATTTTTAATTAAGCAAAATATCAAATAAAAACGATTCCGATTACATGTACAGTTCCAAAAGTACATACTAATTCTAAATCATAAGTAAACATTTTTTAAACCTCTTAGTTCAAAATATAATTTGTTACTTCGTGGTTTTATTATTTTATCGCGGGTTTGCTTTAATCTTAAGTACGTGTGTAATACACATGAATCCATGTGTCATACCGTTCATACTAGATATATAAGTACTTAAATGTGCGTAAGCACATTCAGAGGGATTATTTTCTTCTCACTTGCTGGATATTAAATGCTGTCAGCTACTGTTTAACATCAGCCGAATAGTCATCGAAGAATCGTGGTAAGAATCATTTCGCATTACCATGTGTACATACACAGTGCCATGTGATACTTTTGACAACAGGTTTTATCTCTGTCCTCTTCTGGACGACTAAAATAAATGTTTTACCTGCTCTTCTATAGTCGAATAACGTGCCACGGTTGGAAGCCGAGTGAAAGCTGATTGCTAGGCCAATAACCCAGCATTTGTTAAGTTCTTCTCGACGATGAAGGTGCACTGCTTTCTACTCCTCGTAATCCTCTCCCTCGCTATCAACAATGCTTCAGGTGAGCATCTGTAACGCATCATATACTTTGACACAACACACGTGAAATCTGTTTACGTTCACTTTCAGTAGAATTGTTTTTTTTTCGTCAAGAAGTACGTATTTATTTAATTGCTAGCGAGAAATTACTATGAAAATTAATGACTTTTTATTACCATCAATTTTTATATAGTATGTAACGGTTGAGTAACGGTTACATTACGAACGTTCGAAGAAATAAATTTTTGAATAGATAATTAAGAATTTAATGAAAGATTAAAGAAAAATATGGTGTTCTCTCTTAATTCTCGTATTTCGTGAAAACGTGTAACTTTTTCAGTTTGATAATTGTAAGGAATGAAACGAGAGGTTTGTTTACTGTGGCAATTTTCATAGAAAAAAGTGTCGATTACTGGTAAGTAAATACTCGCGAAGAGAAAGCCAGAAGAAAGGGAAGACGAAAGTCAGGAATGTGTTTGACATTTTCTACTGCGCCTTGTGCAATGTAAATCTGACATTTCGACGTGACCTTCGATCGACTGCGTTCCAACGGGAAATGCGATCTACAAAGGACAATCATTCATTTTCCTTTCGCCCGCACAGTTGCTTGTGAATTTAACCCTTTGCACTCGAGAGGTGACTCTCACTCGCCACTTGATTTCATACAGTAAAATTATAAAGTTTGATGTTTAACACTAAACATTATATAACGCGTAACTATGTGAAATATCAAAGTAAAATAGTTTTGCCCTTTAATTTATCGATTAAATTATTTACATTAGTCGCAACAAGCATCGTCTATATTTTATCAAAGAGCGTTGAATATTTCTAGTGAAAAACTTCCGAGTGTAAAGGGTTAATCAATCGTATAATCCTCGAACGAAGATGACCTTTTACCAGACGTACTATTTTACATTTTACCGTTTCTCCGACTAAAAATACATCGTTTTCCTTAACTCTCTCTATCTCGAAACGGGACACAATTATCTGATACCGAACCAATTAACCCCTTGCCGTACTTTAACGAGCTTGACTCGTGATAACAATTTTGGACCAAACATAAATATCACGAGTCTGACTCGAGATGACAACACGAGCGAGATATCGGTCGCTATAATTATGACACGGGTTTTTTCCGGTTAAATGCTATGGCAAGGGGTTAATTGATGAATTAAGCAACGCAAAGAAAACGATTTCTTGAAAGTTTTCCATTATACGAATCAACAGGAAAAATTTCGTCGGTATAACAACATCCGCTCGTGATTCACTAATATGACCGCTGAATGATTCATAGTGAATACTTCATAGTGGTTTCCTAGAGGTATGGTAACGTGTGTAATGTCCTTTCGGAAGGATCGCCGAGGACGATAAGGCATGACAAAGTGGTTGCCTGTTACGTTGCATCCTGGGCGTGGTACAGACCGAGCAGTGGAAAATTTGGGATAAACGATCTCCAGCCGGAACTCTGCACGCACCTCATCTACGCGTTCGCCGGATTGAACGACACGGATTGGACCATCCGAAGCCTGGACCCGTACAAGGACATCGAGAATGGTAACTGAAACGTTCAATGTTCTTAGATATAAACATCAGCGAAAACAATTTTAAAATACATAGAGTCTCCGATACTTTGAGAAAAGAATTTTTCTTTAACACTAGATTTACGGACGTTTATTCTAAACTTTATTCTATTGTTTCTAGAAAACTACGTGCTCGTCTACACAAATCGTGAAAATTATAACTTCAAAACCAGACTATTGTAATGCGTATTCGCATAATTGCACGAATCAACATCGACTTAAACTGATACTAAATAAATAATTAAAAAATGCAATATCCGTCAAATTGACGGGTTCCGTAAATCTAGTGTTAAAGAAAGAAGGGAAAAAACGAGAAACGACTGAAATTTTTATACGTTCTTCAGGGACAGGTGACTACAGAAGAATAACCGAGCTCCGCAAACAGTATCCCCATTTAAAAGTCTCTCTCGCCATCGGAGGCTGGGAGGAGGGCAGCAGAAATTATTCCAAACTAGCTTCGTCTCCTGATCTAAGGAAGAAATTCGTCGACAGCGTGGTGGCGTTCCTTAAGTACGCAGTGGAGTCTGTAAATGGTAATACATAACAATGAACATCATCTTCTAAGAGTTACGTTATTCACGCAGAGAATACGGTTTCAATGGGTTCGATCTGGATTGGGAATTTCCTGCGTCGCGCGGAGGACTGCCGGCGGACAAAGAGAACTTCGTATATCTCGTGAAGGTGCGACTTAATGAAATTATTATAATTATTATCGTTATTCTAATAATAACATGAGAGGATTCGTTTACACCAGGAACTCAAGGAAGCATTCAAACGGCCAAGATACTTATTAACAGCGGCAATAAGTGCTAACATAATAATTATAAATGAAGGGTACGACATTCCAGAGATATCCAAGTACCTTGATCACATTCATATAATGGCTTACGATTACCACGGCACATGGGATTCAAAAGTGCTTCCAAACTCGCCAATGACCAGCACAGATAGTCTCAGCGTGGTAAGATGTTACAAACATACGGTATGTACTGTAAGCGACAGAATGAAAGATGTTACAACGCCTTTCCAGGAAAGCACGATCAAACATTTGTTAAACAACGGTGCACCGCCGAGCAAGTTGGTGTTGGGCTTGCCCATGTACGGAAGAACATTTATATTGGCTAAGAAACCCGATTCTCCCCAAGAGAGCCCCATGAATAAAATATGCTTGCCTGAAGGATTCAAAGGTCCCTACACCGGCCAAGTTGGTTTCATGGGATACAATGAAGTACGTTCAACGTGTCGCGTTAGAGATATTCATCAACTTCCTCGTGAGACTTAGGCGACATTCCTTGAATCTGTACAACAAGAGAACGCATATAAATTAGCAAACATAGCTGTTTTATTTTAATATTGTACAGGGTGTCGCAAAAGGTTACCAGACTTTGTTTAGATATAGTATTCATCGAATATCATACAATTTGCTTTCAATGTTTATAACCGTCCGAAATTCGTTTAACCAGCAGATAAAGTATGGTAACATTTTCTTGCGACACTCTGTGCGTTAATTAATGATATTGTACGTGAGAGTTTATAATTTTGTTACCTCGGTTGAAACATTTTTTCATTAAAAATACGTCCGTAGATTTGCGAGGAAATAGCGAAGAATTCGAACAACTGGAGTACCGGATGGGACCGAGATAGCAGCACGCCGTACGCTATAAAAGAGGATCGAGTCATCGTCTACGATAATCCAACGAGTATAAAGATAAAGGTTGGTAAACACTCCATTGTGTGGTTTACAATACAATTTTTTTAAGTGATGCAGTCAATTAGTCACTCGCCTTTACATTCGCAGATCGAATACGCGATGAAGATGAACCTTGGGGGCGTAATGATCTGGAGCGTCGACACCGATGACTTCCGGGGCAGGTGCAAGGAAGGATTCTACTTGAAGGATTCTTTGGACACGACGGATCATACTTTCCCCTTGATGCGAACCATCAACACGGTTCTCGCGAATTATTCGAGTAACAATAGCGAACCGGAGCCAAACCGGCCAACGAACAACGACAAGTCTTCCGCTGACAGATGTCTTCTGAATGTTACATTAATTTTATTCGCCCTCCTGCTGCGATACGCTTAACGACGTCTCGCGACAACGAATGCCAAAAACGTTGGAAGAAACGTGATCTCTCCGAATCTGAAAGAGTTCCTTTAAAAATTTAGGTACGGCATTTACCGTGTTAAAAGAAAACTAAACTACCGATGACTAGTTTTAAACGATACAAAATGGACCAAATTGAATCGCGTTCATAGTAAAATGGCGAACAACATCATTAGTCTCTTGCCATGTTGAAATTTCCGTTAACACGTCGACTGCCACAATTTTGAATGTTTAGTGTAATATTACCGATCCTTTCGTGACAGAGACAAACTATATTAGGATTAATTACCGATAACTATTATCTAGTTATTTAGATTACCAAATATATTCTTATCCGATGTAAGTTCTTGTATTGTAATTCTTTTTAAAGAATCTCGAAGTTCCAGTCATGACCGTGGCGGTCAACGGCCAACAAAAGATATAATTAACGCGCATTTTCCTATGACAACCCATTTGTAACAAATTATTGTACTGTTCATAGACTGCCGTTTCGAATGTCAATTGTCCATGTACATAGACGCATTGTAAGAAAGTGTACAATTAAGTGTATAAACGAATAAAAGCGTACTTAAACGAGTCTGTCCGTTCTTTTATCGTCCCACGCGTCTTAAGCCACAAGTGATTTTCCAATAAACAGCAGCAAATCGTTCTCCTCGATTTTGTATAGAATTTCGATTAATCATCCAAGGATGGCAAACGATAAAACGATCGAAGGAAAACGTTCAAACACGCTCGGAATAATTTCACAATTGTATCAACGACCGCAGAGCGAATTTTATTTTATCGAATTATTCTCTTTCCTTTCCTTTTCTTTTCTTTTTTTGTTTTTTTAACACGTCAAAAGAATTCGATCGAAGTCGAGCATGGTAATTGGAACTCCGAACTGTCGATTCGGCTGCGCGTTCAAGGCAACCGGCGACTTTTGGCGTAAATACTTTTTCTCTGGTATGAAAAGGGAACGAAACGAGATAAGCCAGAACGTGGGAGGCTGGCGCCAAACTATTGTGCAAGATTGGCAGAGACCCAGAGAACACTGCCTAAGGATATTTGATCCTTAAATTATTCGATCCGATTTACATTATGGGAACAAAGCGGCGCTCGCGATACGATCACGTTTAGATGTGGAAACGATATTCGTTAGAGAATTTTATTTCTTTCAAAATTTCTTAACACGTTAAACGCCGTGTCAGTCGTCGAAGTCTGACGCTTCTGAATTACTTGAAAACAATCGTAACATGCAAGATCATCGATGTCGAATCGAAATGTTTAATAACGTAACTAAGTTGATAATAATGTAATGCGAAGATCATAACGCCAAATAGTGAATAATTGTTGCTACTATCCTAAAAAGGATAACCGTACAGAAAAATGGCCAAGATTTTCGTGACGCTTAACGTGTTAATCAGTATTTTTCTACCAGCCTTGGTCATTCGTCATTTTCAAGAATTCTTCGAAATGTTATTTCAACAAAAGTCTATGCGCACACCTCCGGTCTGTAGTTTTATATAGTTTTATATAGTTTTTTTATAGATTTATATATTTTTCTATAAGTTTATGCAGTTTTGAATAATTTTGTAGTCTTTTACAGTTCCATGTAGTTGTATATAGCTATATATAATTTTATTTAGTTTTATATCATTTTGTATAGCCTTATATTGTTTCATATCGTTTTATATAGTACTATATAGTTTCATATAATTCAATATCCTTTTACACAGTTGTTGCATTTCAAATTAAAAGCTTACATTGAAAGCTTCCCAGTGGAACAACGAAATTTCCCTTTAATTCTCGTTCCCGTGAATTTTTTTTTATTCTCCGTGTTGTCTAATTGTCCTGCACGAGTTCTCAGGAACGCAGAATTTCGGTAGTACAAAGTAAGTAGGCGGTGCCGAAGCGATAGCACGTTGCTCCAGTTTGGAAGTGAATGTTTGTTATGAAAAAAATGTGGGTCAGTAATTTCGGGGTTCCATACACATACGAAGATCGATCATCGGGATCGAGTTACGCTCGGGAGTTACGTAAAACCCCCGTGCGAATTAGGCCCGATTTTTGTCAAACCAGAGGAACGTGCTTAACCCTTTGGGCTGCTGAACACTCCCAGCCGAAACATTCCTTGTGGACGGAATATTCGTTTGCTCGACCGAGGATCGACTTATGTTAATTCGTACGATTAATTAAGTTTCAATTAAATTGCAATTGTAATACCGTGGTTTCACCGAATTGAATAATGCCAAGAAACGCGTGTATTAATCTTGTACACTCATAACTGTCACCGCGGTATGTGTGACATTAAGAAGATGGAAACTGCATCTATCCGTTCATAGCACACAAAGGGTTAACTCAAAGATTGGAAAAAATAATAAATTATTCCCTGAGAAATTGAATTATCAACTAATCGAAATCTCACTAGATACACTGTTAGAGTTTCCATAAAAAGATTAGAAAAAGGCAATTCGATTGCTCGGTAGTTTTAATGTCGAAGGAATTCGGAATGGACGTTGAATCGGGAATCCTGAAATAATACATTTTCAATGAATTGTATGAAACGAGACAAGAACTAGATATTACTTAGATTACTTAGATATAATCTATGTAATTACTTATAATTAATTTATATATATATATATATATATATATATATAACTAGAATTATAATTACTTAGATATAATCTAAGTAATTTGCTAGCTTGATAGATGATTCTCCTCTTAAAATTTTCCTGCTGAATAGATCAGGTTGTTAATATAAATTGCTGGCTTATTCATAGATCCTTACCAGATCTCCATGTTTTCTTTATATTTGCAATGGATTATTGAAATCCAATAAAGAAGGGACCGACTCACCGAAAGCTGAATATAAACCGACCGATGGTTTAACGGCGCGCCGAAACTCGATCGCAGAATTCCTTCACCTTTCAATGCCGGTCATCCAGTGGACCAGTGAAATTATCACACGAATCTGAACTTACTTCTCGGACAGTCGTTTACTGTGAATTCAGTACCCGGCCGACGGTCCGATCGAAAGGAACCACTGAAACCCGCTGTTCCGGAGGCCCCGACCGAGTCAACGATAGATAGATCCAAGACTAACGATCGTCAAACGCTACGGGGCAAATGAAAGAAAGACTGTAATTACATTACGATGCGGTGAACTTTGACTCGAGAGTATTCACAGGAAATATTCTAACGTCCATTGATATTTAAACAATATCCAAAAACATGTTCGCCCGATTCATCTCAGTCGCGTGTAAGTATAGAGCTACTAGAAGGTTAAAAAAAATGGATTTCTTAGATTATTGAAATTGCAAAACCTTGCGTATTTGATGTTTCTCAACAAGTACATATTTTTGCATTACATACTTGTTTATGTTCTTGGATAATAAAACAATATATCTTTTGATTTAGACTATGTGCCTTTGAGTATTTGAGCTGTTTATTTTGAAAGTGGCTTAAGTTAAAAAAAAATCAAGTTAATCATTATAATGGTTGCAATTCTGAATAATTTTTCATTTTTTAATGATTTTTTTAATCTATTTTAAACGGACTTAAGCCACTTTCAAAATAAACGGTTTATTTATAATTCTGTTTCTGATGGGATTCCTTTGAGTTGTTCAGTGTTGTCGGCGGTGGTCTTTGCTGGTCATTACTTCAACGAAGATGGGACACCGTACGATCCTTATCACAATTTACACGTACCCCATAATCCACCGCTTTACCCGGCGTATCACAAGGTTCCTCGCACCGGTTTCTCTTGCTATGGTTTGGAGAGCCAGTTGTGGGCAGATCTCGACTCGCAATGCCAGGTAAGAGTCAACTGAAGATACAGTAAAAGTAGTATAATACAATTGTACTAATTATTCGAAAAATAGTACAGTGAACTATAATGCTTTTATAATCTCGAGTTATAATATAATAGAAAATTGGATTTCGAGATACGAATTTCGAATTGAAATGAATTAAGCTTGTAAATTGAGATACCACTTTGAATTTGATATAAAGTGAATTATTAAAGAAGTATCATTTATTTCTCAGGCATATCATCTGTGCCATGACGGGCATTTGGTCTCCAGTCATTTGTGCGCAAATGGAACTCTCTTCAATCAACAGTTCCAAGTCTGTGATCAATTTTACAACGTCAGATGCGGCAGCCCATACGGTGATCTGTAAACAATGTTTTCAGTATTCGGATTTCTCGATTCAAACCATTGTAAACCATGTAACATAAACAATACTCGATTAAGCATTCCAGAAACCAAATAGATCAACTTTAAAGGAACTACTATGAAATATCATTTACTTTGTATCGAATGTAACATATCGAAATTTAAAAATCAATATTGAATCATTACCTGGTGTTCTTTTATACGTTCAATTCCACGTTTGGCCATTTAGTTTCTGAAAAGATTAAAATAAGTTGCTGGTGTAAAGTTTCGCAGTAAATAAACCTGTTCGAATTTATGGAGTTTTCTGAATTACCTTATGATTTCACTCTTCAATTCAGATTTGAATATATATGCGTTTATGTAGTTATCGAAGTTTTCATCTCGATTGTCAGGGATGCAGCGACTGTGTTCACAGGGAAATTAAAAATTATCTAGGGGAGACGTTCTAGGGATTTTCTGAAAGCGTAAACATGTTTCTATGACTGCATTTAGTTCGACCATCTAAGTGACATTTCAAACTGTTTCAAGTTTGTAAGTATGGCGCTATTCAGTAAAGTCGATCACTACACTCCTGCACCATTTTGGCAAAATGGACCGGCACCAGGTGCATTTTATCACTTTCCTGGAGGTTCCTCGCAGTCCGATGTTGGAGGATTTCAAAGATCACAGTAAAATTACCTTTTGTATATTTATCCGTGCAAAATGTTGTCTCTATAAAAGTTGCATGTCATGTCATATTTTATGAATGTACAATACCAGTAATTTTCAAATAAATGAAACTACATTGACTTCGCATCTTCATTCATTGATAATTCAATCAGAGTACAATTTTTATATAATTATTGTATGTTTGCTAATTCATTGTAATTCTAACCTCAATTGAACACCAACGTTGAATTTCACTTTTACCTGCATTAGATACTGAATTTAATATTTCTATAGGGCTCCGATGACTACCGGTACATCCGTAGTTGGAATTCAATTCAAAGATGGTGTTCTAATAGCTGCAGATGTTCTTGGTTCATACGGATCATTGGCTAGATTCAGGAATCTTGAACGTATCATCAAAGTTAATAATAATATAATCCTGGGCGCAGGAGGAGACTATGCTGATTATCAGTGTATTAAAAGTAATATAGAGAGGAAAATGTATGTATTTAGAACTCTTCAACAAAAGTTTTACATTTTAAATTACTATTACAATTATGTCTTTTAGACTCGAAGAAGAATGTTTGGATGATGGACTATCTTTAAAACCAAAAGCTCTGCATTGTTGGCTAACTCGCCTAATGTATAATGGAAGATCTAGTTTCGATCCATTTTGGAATAACTTTGTTATTGGTGGTATAGAAGGTGATAAACCGTAAGTATTTCATTTCTTCTTTCATTTTCCAAATATATATACATATATATATATATATATATAAAAGGATTTAAATGTTTTGTATAGATTTTTGGGTACCGTAGATAAGCTCGGTACAGCTTACAGTGACCCAGTAATTGCAACCGGATATGGTGCTTATATGGCAACGCCTATCATGAGGAAAGCTTATGAAGAAAATAAGGAAATGTCTAAGGAACAAGCAAAGGAACTTTTGTACAAAGTGATGCAGGTTCTTTTCTACAGAGATGCACGTTCTTTCCCAAAAGTAAGTTGCATATTGTATAAGAATGTTACAGTTCACAGAAATACAAAAATTTAACTTTTATGTTTTTAGTATCAACTTGGTATAATAACTAAAGAAGGTGTTGAAATACAGGGACCAATAACAATGGATAGCTATTGGGGACCTGCTATTATGTAATACTAAATCTAATACATTTTTCCTTAATAAAAATATTTACATTTAATATAAAATTATTAAAAAATTACTTTATTCGAACCTTTGCGAAAATAATTTATTGTAGTTAGAAACAGTAATATTATACATGAAATTATATAGATACCTATATCTAGGAAATACCTTTCTAAAGTCAACGAGTTAGCACATCACAGCCGGTATCGGTAATTAAAATAGTATGTTCCGCTTGTGCGGTACGAGAATTATCAGTTGTAACAGCTGTCCACCCATCTTCTAAAATTTCGATTTCCTTAGTACCTTGACTTAAAATTGGTTCAATGGTAAATGTCATTCCTGGCTGCATTTTCCCAGGATTATGATTTGCTGTCAGTTACGAAATATATTGTTATTATATTCCCCTAATATGTCTGTATTAAGCATCAAACCATTAACATACCAAAGTGTAAGATATCAGGTGGTCCATGAAAATATGTACCAATACCATGGCCTGCAAATGCTGGCACCACAACATATCCATTCTTAGATGCAGTCTCTTCGATAATATCTCCTAAAATTAAAAAGGAAATGAACAAATACTCTTTCTGTTACTTTCATTAAACTGAATGTCTATTTTTAAATTCTATTAATTGTAACGGTTACCTATACTAGAAAAATTTTCATTTGGTTTACAGATATCAATGGCTGTTTGTAAACACAATTCTGTGATGCTTATTAATCGTTTAGCTTCTTCGTCACATTCTCCTACTTCAAATGTTTGAGAACAATCTCCATGATACCCATTTAAAAAAACCTGTATATAAAGATTTGTAGATACAATTGGTTTTTAAATAAGTATGTATACATTTAATACATATTTCTTCTTACTGTTACATCGATATTGAATATGTCTCCACTTTGTAATGGTCGAATATCTGGAATTCCATGGCATGCTACATTGTTAATACTTGTACATATTGATTTTGGAAATCCCATGTAATTAAGTGGACTAGGATAAGATCCATTACTTATGATCATTTCATGTACTATTGCATCTAATTCATCTGTAGTTACACCAGGCTGAAATGGCATTTATCGATTAAATAAACTATTTAATTGAATCATACATACATATACACTTTATACCTTTATATACTGTTTGATTTGAGTCAATACTTTTTTGGCAAAGTAACAACTATCTCTCATACATTGTATTTGATTTTTGTCCTTAATTTCTGGCTCTTTAGGACCTTCTGTAGGTATAGATGATTCGCTGTAAGATGGTTTAGGTATATATTCTGGCACTTTTCTAATCTCTGTAACTGTACATGGTTCAACAATTTTATAATTTCCAAAGGAATTATTTGCACGTATGGGTCCTGATACCTAAACAATTAATAGACTGGTTAGTCGAATGAACATAAATGAATCTACTTACGTTCCTGATAATAAACTTACATTCGATATTTTCTTTAAAAAACTTTTAATAAACATTTTTAAACAACGGTACGTTCAATGTTTCTTCATTTGAGATTAACCTTCGTAAGACGCAATTTGTACAGACGAGTAAAGTATTTCGAAACTTTATAATAAAAAAGATAACTTCTTTCTCACAGGATAATTTGTTATGGTAATTTTCATTTTAGAAAATGTGTTAAAACATGATGTAACCAAGCTCACAAAGTTAACCACTTTTTAAATTTATAAACCAACTTGACGTCACAATCGTATTTACTATATACAAAATCAGCTGATGTCGAGTTGTGTGTCTTATACTTAGATGTGAAGTATGAATATCATGAAATCGTTTCGAGAGATTTTACAAAGTTCAAGAAATGTGTTGATATTAACTGGAAGCGGGATTTCAGCGGAATCTGGAATTCCAACCTTTAGAGGTGCAGGTGGTTTTTGGCGGAAATACCAAGCACAAAGTCTTGCTACTCCAGAAGCTTTTGCCGCAAATCCTTCGTTAGTTTGGGAGTTTTATGAATATCGTAGAAATGTAGCCAATGAAGCTAAGCCTAATAAAGTAATTTAAAAATTAATCTTTGGCAGTCCCTGTTTATTTCAGTTCAGTGATACTGTGATGTTTTCAGGCTCACGAAGCGATAGCAAACTTTCAAAATCGGGCTTTGAAAGAAGGTAAAAATGTTACTATTGTAACACAGAATATTGATGAACTTCATCAAAGGGCTGGCGCTAAAGATGTGGTGGAACTTCATGGCTCGCTTTTCAAAACCCGTTGTACAGTGTGTCACGAGGTTGCTGTAAATACAAATATTCCAATATGCCCTGCACTAAAAGGAAAAGGGTAAAGGATAATTTCTGAAACTATCCTGTAGCTTATATAGTAAATAACATTTAGCTAAATATGTTTAGATCTCCAGATCCCAATGTAATGAGTTCTGATATTGCGAAAGATGATTTGCCTCGATGTCAAAAGGAAAGTTGTAAAGGTTTATTAAGACCTCATATTGTATGGTTTGGTGAAAGTTTGAATGAACACATACTTCAGCAAGCATGTAAGTATTCTTAAAAATTTGTGCACATATATATATATATATATATATATATATATATATATATATATATATATATATATATATATATATATATATATATATATATATATATATATATATATATATATATATATATATATTTTATAATA